TGTGTGGGGGGGGGGGGGCAGTTGGCGTGCGTCCAGGGCAGCACGAGACCGCCGCGGTTCGGCGAGTCCATGCATCGGTCCTTGGCCATGGAGCGGCGAGGCCAGCAAAAACCTTGTCATCGCCCAAACACAGGGGCGGCGCTCCCCACTCGCCGCCCCCTCGGCCTATCCCGTTAGTGCCCATTGGGCGTCTTTGCGCGCCAGCGCCGGACCCCTTTGGGCCACTTGCAGTCCAGTTGATTTATGAGGCGCTGGAGGCCGCTCCGCCGCCCACCAGTAGGCCTTGTCGACGAAGGGCTGCACGTCGTTGTCGAGGCGCTTCTTGCTCTCCCTCACGCGGCCGCGGGTCTCGTCCAGGTTGGTGCGCGCCTGGGGGGGCGGCGTTGCATTTTAGGGGCGTTGAGGGGGTCGGCACGGTGCGTGAGCGGTGTCAGCAGCGGCGCGAGGGAGCGAGGGCGGCCGGGCGGTGCCTGCACGGGAGGCAGAAAATGCCGGGGCCGCGGCGCGGCCCTGATCGGGCCCCCCGACCCGGGGCAGCCAAGGGCCCCGCATCGTGCGCGCCGCCACCGCCAATTCCTCCCTTGCGCAGATGGACCGACTTGGATCCTTGGACATGGCCCCAGCTCATGGTATCCGCTTCGCGAGCCAGCAACACCCGCCGCGCGCGGCGACGGGCGGTCCCACGCACTGCCGGCCTCGCCCACGGGGATGGCCGCGCGAGCAGGCGGCCGCCCCCACCCCCACCTGGGTGAAGCCGTCGCGGACGTTCTGGGGGAGGTCCAGCTCACGGGCCTCGTAGATGATGTCAAAGCCGGTGTCCTTGACCTTGCGGTCGTCAAAGAGGTCGATGGGCGTGGCGGCGCGCGCGGCGGACGCCGCCAGCATCGCCGCGGCGCTGGCGAAGCCCGAGAGGACCTGCAATTTTGGCACGGGAGGGGAGGGCATGCCAGTCTGAGGCAAGATGCAGCTGCAGGGGAGGACAGGCGCGGCGGGCGCGCTAATGTCGCTGCAGCGGGGCGCGTCCGTCCGGTCACGGGCGGGAATTTGGCGGCGCTTTCTCACCGCGCGGCGCGACTCAGCCGAGGCGCGGACGACCACCGCGGACCTGCGAGGCACAAGAAGAACGGGTCGCTGGGAGGCGCAGGGCCTAGAAGCGCCGAGACAGACAGGCACATGCCCCAACCAAGATCGCGCCCTGTGCCAAACCGCCACTTTCGAGGTCCGGCTCCACACCTGGAGGGGCGCACTGCGATGCGAGAGCAAGGGTGCGTTTGTCAGGGGTCGGATCTCGCGCTTCGTGTGAGGCAACCTGACACAGCACACATGACCGAGGTCTCACCGGCGCGCTGGGTGGCCGACGCGGACACGCTCCTGCACAGCAACGTGTAAAGAGGGGTATACGTTAGTTTGAGGCCCTCCAACAGCTCCAGCGCGTTCCATACCATGCCCCCCAAGCTCGATACGCACTTGAGGGCCATCTTAGCTGCTTTTGTGGATTTAAGCGGCTGAAGCTGAGAAGAGAGAGGGTGTCGTCGCAGGCGCCAGGGTGAGTAGGACAGTTCTGCCGCGACCGGGGCCTTTACCGACAGATCGGCAGGCGAGGGGGCGCCCCGGGACGGAGGAGAAAGAGGCGCACTGTGTGCGAGACTTTCAAGCAGTCGAAGCATCGAATCACTCGTCACAGGCGTTGAGATGCTGATGCCGCTCGCTCCACGCCGCTTGCCCCCGCCCATCGCACGGGCGTGCCTGGGAGCATCAGCGCAATGACGCCGCCGCTGTTGTGTTCCGCGCGTGCGCGCCACATGCTTAAATGCATTGACGGTCCGGACCAGCGGGATGCGGAGCGTCCTAGGCCGGAGACTGCCAATCAGCAGCATGCAGACGCCTGGATGATTGTGAACAATACTGTTTGAAAAACAACTCCTCCCGGCGCCCTTATCCTGCTGATTGGTGACATTCTGGGGCCTAGGACGCTCTTAAGTGTTGACCACCGCCTCTGTCGTGTCTTGATTCCCCAACCGAGACAGTCTCGCCATCCGCGGGAGCACGCCCTAGTTTGCTGCTTACACGCGACGTGGGACAACAGGGGGGCACGATTGTTGCGAGGTTGTGAGTGTGCAGGTTGCGGACGTTGAGCCGCTCGGCCCGGCATTTCAACACGCTCGCCGATTGTTGCGTTTGACATTGTGGGAGATCGCCAGCAAAGGCGCTTTCCCATCCGCGTGCTGGGAGCAGTTTGTATACAAAATCTCTGTCACTACTGTACATCCGCAACCGTGCGGTGAGACAGCGGTGTTATTGTGACCATAAATATGCACCAACAAAAATCAAAAAGAGGACAAACTTAGGCGAAAAAGCTCGCGCTCCTGCGGCTGCAGATTGAGCAGCCACTGCCGCAGGTCATTACAGACTGCAGCGCGCACCCCTCCACGGCCGACTGTACATCTCCGCCCCCGAGGCCCAGCCAGCACACCACCTCCGCCCCACCCGCGCCTCCGGCCGCGCCGCCGCCGCCGCCCCCGAGCCGCGCCCGCGCCTGTCCCGCC